GTGTGACAACACAGACTACTGAATATAGAGGAGGAGAAAAAGTAAAAAATAATTTAAGATCTTTGAAATTATTTTTATGCTATTTTTTTCTGCAGTGTAAAGCTGTTCAGTGAAATTTGCTAGGTCAGCCACTCATTTGTGACTGCAGCACATTCAGGCCCCAGGACCAAACTCACAGCAAGTTAGAAAAGAGTGTAATATGGACATCAGGTGATGAGGATGCCAGGCAGTTAGCCTCGTTTACCTTTTTCTTTGGCCTACTTTATGTGCTAAGGTACACTTTGTCTACCTTTGTCTCGGTCTAGATTTTAGGTACACTTCATGTACAGGACACCATTCTGTATTGCCAGTGCACCAGACTGCAAATGATTTTATTCAGGACTTAAAACGAATAAGTAGCTTCTGGAAAACAGGATGAAACAACATTCAGCAGAGACAGCTGGAACACAGCTCCTTGGAAGTCCCTCCTTAAGAGGCTACTCCTGCTTGGTACCTCTCTTAGGGCAGGTTTTTATTTCCCAATCTGCAATCTTAAAGTAGAGTTTAATAAAGCCTCCCTTTTGTCCCTGTTCTCCCCACCCCAGTTTTGTTGTTTGTTTGTGTTAGGAGTTGAATGTTGACATTTCTCTGTGGCTTCTGTATAGTCCTTGTACTGAGTACAAAGACAATGCACATCTCTTTCCACATCCTATGCACTGCTCAAAAAAAATCCTTTCTGCTGTTTCTGTGAGATGTTGAATCCCAGGTCCTGGGAAGATCACTTTGGGGGATAGTCCTCTTCTGTTTATAGGCTGCTGAGACCACATGGAAATTTCCAAAAAGCTCTGGTTTGCCACATACCCTGAAACTCTAAGTCTGACAAAAAGCCTGGCTTCCTACTCCATTTCAAAGACTTGTACAGTTCTTGCATCGGAAGCATTTGCCCACGCAAAGCCCCTAAACTTTGCCGGAAATTCCCTTCTCTGTGTACCAAATTATGAGGTTGGTCACAAGGAGAAAAACAAGTGGCTGGGGGAGCATAATGTTTGAACAACAAGAGGCTTACAATGAGGCCAAATCATGATTTGTATTTCACATATGCAGTTTAGTCTCAGCATAATACTGAGGAGCATTTTGGAGCTTTATACTAAGATTTTATTTACCTGATTGTTTTCCTGCAGCTGAATATTTCATTGAAAGCAGTTTATTGAAAAGTTGCCCTAGTTTTTTCTGACTGGTTGACTGAACCTTGATGCATGTAAAATTGAGAATAAGAGATGATGTGGAATGTGTCTGACAGTTACCCTAACAAAATAAACCAAAATAGCTAAAAAAAACCCCACCAAACCAACTGTGGCCAGTCTTTTGGAAAGGATGTATTTCCTTCTACCTCAGCCTGATCCACTCATTTAAAAGTTTTTTGTTAATTTTTTCCTAGTTTTATGGCTCTGTGGTTTCCAAGAGTGCTAAAAGAAACAGAGTGCTGCTCAGATGCCTTGCGTCCTTTCCTGCTTATTGGCTGTCAGCACACACTGATTGATCACAGGCATACAGATGAGTCTGACTTGATTTCTGGCTGGTTGAATTCCCCCACATTCTGCTGACCAAGTAGTAGCGTCTGCTTCTAGGAAGTAACCTCTGCCTTTGGCTACTAAAACAGGGTATAGGTGACCTGCTGGTCTGTTCCAAAGCCGTGCAGGTAACAGGAGGTGCTTGGTTCTTGCCTGTTTCCCCCCTAATATGGACTGAATTTAGTAACCACCTCATGTAGGATTGCTGTGTAGTTGATAGAGAGGAAAGAGTACTTCCAAGTTCAGAGTTGGTCCTCTGGAGGCGCCTTTCTCTGTTTCAGCTAAAATGTTTTGAAAAGGATGCCAGCCTTCAGTTTAAGAAAAGATAATCATTTAGAGGAGAAAGGACCATATTTGTGTTGCTTCCTGCTAGATAATTCCTTTTAGTCTTGTGAGATATTTCTGCTTTGGTTTGTTCTTACACCATATTTTTACAGGATGTAAAGCGGGACTATTTGGAGAGTATACCAAGAGCTGGTATAGTGCTGAAACTCCTACTGTCCTTCCTGTATCTCTTGCATGAATCTGATGACATCTGTCCAAGTGTCTGGTAATTTAAACTTTCAGGAAGAAAGAGCAAGTACTGAATAGGTCTTGACTTTTTGCTACTCATAGTTAACATAAACCTTTCAAGTTGATATGGATCTAATTTCCATGTGAAAGATCAAAGAAAATGAATATCCATGAGCTTTATGAGTCTCTTACCTACAATAAATAATGAAAACTCATTTCAGGTGATCTGGACAAATGATGAATATCGTAGTCTTAATTTTCAGTTTATCCCAATGAGACTGTAAACTGTGGGTGCATCTCTTAGGAATGTAAGGACAGATTATGTAAAGACAGGTTATGGACACATACTTCAAATAACAGATTATGAAGAACTTGTGAGTCAGAAAAGGTACATCTTTCCAAGAGACACAGACATCACTTATCTGGAAAATAATGTTGAAAATCTAGATAGATCTTTGGGATTTGCTTCTTTTTTTGCAATACTTAACTATTTGATGCCTAATCAGACTCAGAGCATGCAGCAATTTCATATCTATAACAACTCTTTTCCTCCCTCTTTCGAGGGTTTTTTATTTGAATAAGGTACATCCTGTCAGAGGATGTGAGGATGTCAACAGCAAGATGTGTAAGAATGTCAGTTGGTGGTTTATGGGGAAAATCTCCCTCTCACTCTGTCACAGTTTGAGACCCTCAAAAATCCAATTTCCAATTTCCAAGCCTCCCCCCACCAATTTACCTCAACACCAAAGAGAAGTTTTCAGGCAGGCACAACTCAGTATAGGGGAAGGGAATATATACAATTTATTACTATACAAAATAAATACTATACAAACTAAAAAACAGTTATATACACAATATTAACACAGATTCTACCACTCCTTGGACCCTCCCACATCAGTTTGGGAGAAGTCTTCCGAGCGATAGTGAAAAGTCTCTCTCTCACTGAGGTATCAGAGAAAGGGTTGAAACCCCCACCAGCCCTTAGCTTCATGCTGAGGTCCTATCCTGAGCTGCAAGGGAAACAGCTTGCGCCATCAGGATCTTCATCACGAAAGGTCCAGGGAGTCAGCTCTGAGTCCTTCCTCTCTGGTTTCGTGAAGGTTTCCTCCCAGGGTTAAGATGTTCTGCTCTCACCCTCCAGGTTGCAGGCTCTGGGTCTCTGCTCAGTTCTTTTTACCCCAAATAGTTTTAAAGTCCTTACCCAGGAAAAACCTGCTTGTTTGACTCTCTCACTCTTCTTTAGCTGCTGCAGCTTCCAGTTTCGGTAGTCCATGTCCAAACCCAGCGTAGAGCACCTCCAAGCCCTCTCTGGCCCATCTCCAATTTCTGCCTGGAGTTCTTCCAACTGTTGCAATGAATCGCAACTGTTTCTCCCGGCAACCGAGCCTCTCTGGCCCCTCTCTTGGCTCGGCTCCAGTACCGAGCATGCCTGCCAGGGAAACAGGGAGCTGCAACTCTCCCGACTGGCCTCCGAGTCCACTCTGTCTGCTTCTTCTGTGCAGTGGAGGGGGAGAACTGGTGAGGGAACCACCCTAGCCCTAGTTGAAGCAAGGCCGAGGAGGCCCGAGGGCCCCTCTGGTCCAGAGGCTCCCCTGGCCACCCCTCATGTCTCTGATTCTCTCTTACACACAGAACATGGTGCCTCCAGCCCTGGCCAAGCCAGGACCACTGGGGCACAGGGCACCCCCCGGGTTCGGGGAGGGGGGGCCCATCCACCCCTCCAGCTTCTCTCTCTCTCTCTTACATGCTCTCACACACTCGACCAACAGCTTCCCGCTGTTGTTGATATCTAATTTTCACAGGAGCGAAAAAGAACAGCTCTGATTGGTCCCTCAGGGGAAACTCTCCTGGGACCAATCACCTCTAGGCTCCCCAGCTACCGGGGGGGCAGCTCAAACCAAGACACACACTCATAAGTTTTAAGGATGGCAGCAGGAGGAATTTGCTGATACTTTGTTGTCATCCTTTTTATTAAATTCTGGTAGATTTTCCTCAGTGAATATTTATAAGCTGCAAAAACTGAGAAGGGTTTTCTAGAACAAGGTTATCTTAACTGAAACTCATTTTAACAGAGCTTGGTACATTTCACTTGCTTCAATCATCTGCTTTGCTGGACGAGTGAAAACGCTAATCACAGAATCATAGAATAGATTGGGTTGGAAAAGACCTCCAAGATCATCAAGTCCAACCCCTGAACCATCTCCAATTACTATATCATGGCACTAAGGGCCACGTCCAATCTCTTTTTAAAAACCTCTAGGGATGGTGAATCCACCACCTCTCTGGGTAGGCCGTTCCAATGCCTGATAACCCTCTCTGTAAAGAATTTATTCCTAACATCTAACCTAAACCTCCCCTGGCAGAGCTTGAGCCCATGTCCCCTTGTCCTATTGTTGGTTGCCTGGGAGAAGAGACCAAAAAGTTTATCTTTGTGTATTTCTGCTGAAGGTGAAAGAGTGTCTAGGTTTGAGCATTTAGAGGAAGATGTCATTTATCTCATTAGTTCTGATATAAGCAGGGAAACAGCTGAGTTGACCAAAACATCAAATAAACACAGTTACAAAGAAGGTAATACAAAGGTAACACCGTTGACTTAAAATGCTATGAGGTGGTTTTATATATTTTGCTGGGATTTTTCTCCTCTGTCTCTATCTTCAGACATGTAGAACAGAGACACCTACATGTGAACTAGGTTAGATATGTTCATGTCCTATCCAGTCAAAGCATTTCCAAAGCATGGTTTGTCTGGCTTACTTCCAATATTTTCTTTGGGCTTATTTGACTCCCAAAGTGGTTATTTTTCTCCTTTGGCAATTAATGGTAGGCCAGACATATAGCTCACATATAGGTGTATTTTTATGGACAGGCTTATCCCACCTTCTCATATAATTTAGCTTAATTCAGAATAATAATTGTGATTTATAATTGTGCATGCAGGTTGGCCAGGACAAAGGAAGCTGTTCTTTCCACAGAAACCACAGCCCATGTGTTGTTCCTCAAGAGAATGAAAATATTTTCCACACAATATTTGCTTTTTTCACAAAGTCTGGCAGAAAAGTATTGGTAAGAAATGGCACCACTTATGACATACAGCATATTCTACAAACGATTTTGCATGGCTTGGCATGAAGATCTGAAGCAGATTGTTCACTGTAGAGCAACACTTTGCTGAATATATAACGCAGTTGGTCACCAGAACCTTCGCTCCCCTGTTCTGTCAAAGGCACATGGGGGCAGTGAGGCACTGTACTTGGTGCCTGACCCACACAGAGGGCTGATGTGCAGCAGTGGCCCTGCCCCTTCCAGGGTGCTTGCCTGGCTCAGCACCTCTGTAGAGGGCTGAATTTTATTAGCTGACTTGCTTTCATTCAGGTCTCTGTATTCAGCTGTCTTCAGGTCTTGAAAGTTCCTGATATTTCAGTGTAAGAGTGCTGTATTCTAGCAGTTTACTATATACCTAATTTTCTGCTGTATTTGCTGTCACACAATTTGTCATTGAATTTTTACCTCCTTCACCTAATGGCATTTTCCATATTTCCTATAGGACTGTGAAAGACCAGGCAGGTCCTGCTTAATTATACACTGCAACTTAAGCTCACTACCCAAAGCAGAGTCCTGTGATATAAGTATCTACATGCTGCTGAATACTGAGATACTCAAGAAGGTGCGTGCTTCCCTTGTAGGTTGTCTTAAATACCAACTTAAGTGTGCTTATGTGTGCCAGTGAACTCAAAACTTGAATTTCTTCCTCTCTTTACTAGTGTGTTAAAAAAATATTATGACATCAAGGAAAACAAATCTATTTATCAACAGTGTGTATGGAGGTGTTAATCCTAGTTCTTACCCATTACACATTAAGACAGGTATAAATTAAGTTCAGAAATTTATATATTGAGAAATAACAAATGAGTCCCCTAATCGTTGGGGTGTGGTGTTAAGGCTAGAGACTTCTGAAAGTTGAATTGATTTCTGAAAGCTTTCATTCTGAAAAACGAAAGGCAGAGTAAGTGAATATAAACTATGACCAGCTATGTATCATTCTTTCTGTGTAAACAGAGATGGTAGTTTTTTGTCATTTTTACTTCAAATTATTATTATTCAAAGAAGATGCATCATGAATGTATTAATGCTGAGCTTGATGTTTATGACACGAAACAAATGATTGCAAGTTAATTTCTGTCTTCTCTGAAGACACTGAATCAGACAACAAATCCTAAATTCTTAGTGATTTACTACATTTTGACCTCTTTTCCTTTACTTACAAAAATGCTGACTCTCTAATTGTGGCAAGATGCTGTAAGATTATGAGGGTTTAAGATAACCAGAGGAGAAGGCTGATAACATGAGCCTACTAAAATAAACCTGTCTTTGATAAATGCTAGATTAAAAGCATCAGAGAGCGCCCTAATTAGAAAACAGTTGCTAAAGAAATTATCGCCCTGAGCTTTTCCAGTTGAAACCAATGAGTCTATTAATGTTTGTTTGTATTTGAAAATAGGAAATACAGGCAAGGCCAGAAATTTCAGGTATTTGCTACATGCTTATAGAAATGCTGAAATATGTAAACAAGTAACTGAGTGCACACAAAATATGCTTCTGGAAAATTGAGGTTTGGGAGTAGCCAGGATTCACCCCATCTGCTGGTTGCCTTGCAAGATTACTATTAGCAACAACCCTTTAAAAGATGTACTGTGTTTACACGTGTTTGGGTCAGTATCACCAATGAGTGCCATTTGCTACTTACCATCTACCCTTCCCAAGGTGAACTGCATACAAATGACTAACCTGTAAGTTGAAATGGCATCTTACTGAAATGTGCCTATCAAAATGCACCATGCATTTCATGGCAGAAATATATATCAATAAAACGAGATGTACAGTAAATATTTAAGATATCTGCCATGTACAGATTTAAATAATTAAGAAGTTTTCCCCTTGGGTTATATTAGATTTTGTCCCAGATTTTGTATATCATTTTTCTGTTCAATTGAAAAACAATTCAGAGCTTTTTTTCATGGTTAATATTGAACCTACCTGTGTTATTGGCAATATTCTGTCTTGTTTTTTTGGTAGATGTGGAAAACATGAACAAACCAAATACAAAGTATGTGTTTAAAGTCCAACATACCTGATTTTGTTTTATTCTGAAATATTGTGCTCAGTTATATCTGTCTGTTATGAGCATTAGGAATATTTTTTCAAAGTAGTGTTTTAACCAGGCTAGTGTTTAACTGTCAACCTAAGCTTTGTCTAGATTTTTTTATTACACTGGCAAATTTTGATGGTTTTTTTTTTTTTTTTTTTTTTTTTTTTGACGGGGGGATTGGTGCTTTTGTTGTTGTTGTTGTTTTGCACCCTTAAATCTAATTCTTCCTCTTTTTACTTCTCAGGACAGTTCCTCGGTCATCCAGTTTGTCACAAGGGCAAGGTTGAGGATGGATGGTGACCTCAGAGTTGTGGAGGTACCGAGTGGGAGCCCACAAGAAAAATCAGTAAGTAAATAAACCTGAAGAGAAAGGTTTCCTTATCTGAGTAGGCTGGAGATCACTGAGAGCTCTATACAAACTGGAATTTGTGGCTAGGCTTGGTCTGGGCCAGCCCAGACTTTGTTTGGCTAGACTTACAGTGCTGTGAACTGTGCTTCTTTGGTTTTGCTCTCTGTGATAACTGTGTCATCAGAGTGAGTGACGTTATATGGAACCAGAGGGATCTGTGTTGTACAAGCTAAAAGTTTAATATTCTCGAGGTATTCATGCAAAAATCAGTTTTAGCTTCCTGTTTTAGGGTTAATCTAATTCAGATTTTCCTTGAAAACCTAGCAGAGACTTGAAAGCCCAACAATGTCTTTTCACATGTGCCAGAATAAAATATTTAGAAGTGTTAATGATATTTTGGGAGCTGTGAAAATGGACAAGGATGTCTAAACTTTCAGTGATACATTTAACTCTTCCATTGTGCTGAGCTGATAAAAATGAAGTATGAGCTGATACCACATTTTGTATTGATCGGCATGGGGGTGTATTGAAAATTGAAGGTGAAATATCAAAGGTCGAGGTGAATTCACTTTATAGTTTTGTCTGTAAGTAAAATTGTACTGTAAGATGTTTACTGGCTGATCTACTGGAAAAGGAGGGGTAATGGCTTTGGTTTACTACTACCAAATTGTGTAATACTTACAACGTGAACATTGACCAGGAGGCCACACCCAAATTCGGCTTAATTTTTGCCTAGTGAAATTTTAAAATTTCATTTCTTATTCTTCTCTCATATGAGGATCAGAGGTAATCTGGACTACTTTCTATTTTTGTTCTTGCTGTGTATTTTCAGAACATGATCTCTATTCTCAGTTGTCCTTCTCTCCCTAGTGGATGTTGTCTCCACCAGCCTGTACAACCACTCTCTTATTGCCTCCATTTTAAGTGAGTGACATTGAGATCTCGGTATGAGAGCATTGAGTTCAACGCACTTTTGGAAGACGCTGACGCCCCAAATTAAAGCACTCATCTCAGAGATACTGGATTTAAAACCCCACAGGCAAATTAGGCCTGCATCTTCTTGCTACTTTAAATTGGAAAGTAGAGACACCACTATGATGTCCATCTTCTCCACCATCGTGTTAAGGAAACTTCCCAGTCTGACCATTCACAAGACTCTGGCAGTCACACTCCCAACACCAGAGACTTTCACTGCTGTTACCAAAGCCCTTTCACAGTGGGCAACTCCAGCTGAGCCAACAGGTGCCCTGCTTGACTCCCTACAAACTCCACTCACGCACAGTCAGATGAGGTTTCCTTAGTGGTTTGACCCCAGATTTCCCATAGCAGAGTCTCAGATGTCTAGTTACATAAAGCAATTAATTTGTGGTGCAGTAACACAGAAACAGTCTGAGCTGGGCACCTCCAAGGAGGACTCCCAACCAAGGAATTGCTGAGCTTTTATCTGCTCGCAGTCCAAGGTGCATGCAGGACACCCTCTTCCTCCTGAGTCCTCTACTCTTGCTGTGTCTCCCAGTGTGCATCCACCTGATTGGCTCTACTGATCTTCCTGCCTTTTGTTATCCAAAAGGTAGGTAGTTCACTGCTATGTCTCTCAGTGTCCATGTACCTGGCTGGCACCACCCATCTTCCTACTCTTCATTTACCATAGGGTTCACAGCCTCTTGTCTCAGGCTCCCACCCAGAGCTCAATCCGCATTTCAATCTGCATCTCAATCTGCAGCTTGCAAACTGAGCTACCTGCATCAGATGTATTCCTCAACAATCATGTCTGTAACCCTAGTTTTAACTTTTGATTTTATTAGACCTGTCAGAAAAAGGAATTATTTTATATGACAGGACCTCATTTTTCCCCTTCTGTTTTATTTTCTTTGTCAGGTTTCTGGACCATTCTAAAGTGCATTAAAGAATAGACTTGGCAGCTGAAATGAAAAACATAGCTAGCCTTTGCTGGGAATGTGCCTTATAAGTGACCTGCAGCGCTGATCGTTGCTTGATCTCTCTTTAGTTCTGCAGGTTGCACAGAGCAAATCTTGCAATTGTATGGCAGAATTTCATTAATGACTGAATAACATATGACTGTGACACCCATGCCCCAGCTGAAATAGAAGAATATAGAATATATCTATGCCAACTATTTTAATCTGTAAAGGTTTTTAGAATCTCTCAGAATGATAGGCACAATGTAAAATGTGTGGGATTACTGTTATTAATATTCAAAATTTAGAAATGCTTTTATCTAGGAATGCAAGCTCTGTTGTATTTCACTGTTATCTAATGCTTGAAGAAAAAAAAGAAAAAAAAAAGAAAAAAAAAAGAAATTGTCCTTTACCTGTTCCCAGAAAGCCTTTCAGCAAGTCTTGAGTTGCATCAATTATGCAGTGCAGTGTGTGTGCTGGGAAGCTATATTAATCTTCAAATAAGAGATTGCTTCTAAGTCCTGGGAAGCCCTAGCTGTAAACGAGCATGCATGACATATTGTAGCCATGTAACATCAATTTGTAGTTTCAAGTCTTTTCTCATATGAGTGCCATTTGCTCTCTCCTTTATGCTATTTCCATATGTCTGTTGGCTTCACCATTGCTGTATGTTTTGGATAGAGTCATGTTCAGGCAAAAATTTAAGAGGTGGTTTGGCTCAAGGTACTCATTTTCCCCTGTTCTCTTCTTGTGGAATGCAGAAGGGAATAGTACTTGTTGCAAGCCACAACTATGCAGCTGGAAATAGATAGAAGAAAGAAAATGTCTTTGTTCGTACTCCTCCCTTCCCTTTTAAAGTTCATCCCATACTCTTCATTGACCATGGACTGCTACCACATTCATTTGGATAGCAGTTCCTTCTGAACAGTTCTGCATGAACTTCCTATGAGTTTGTGTTCCCTAATAATGAAAATACGTTTTCTTAGACACTTTATCATGGTAAAGTAGAAAAGACCTTTTTGCTCTCTATGGCTAAATGTAGACTTATTAGCACATTTAAATTGTTCTTTAAAAACAGGTGTCATTACTTCACTGGGCATTTTTACAATATATTGTACAATATCAGTGTGCAAACTCTCTGTAAAGAAGACAAATGGAAAAAGAAGACAATCGGAAAAGGAAGACTGATATTTGTGATGCTAGTATAAGAAGTATCACTGGACAACCCATATAAACATCAACTTTGTCAGAAACTCCAGCAGACAATTCATAAGGGAGATGCAAAAGTATATGTAAAGATCTCTAAGTTGGGTAGCAGATTGTCTGTGAAATGAACCCATTTTTTAAAAAAAAAGATGCATTTATGCAATTCTCAGACATAACGTCTCGAGATTTGGATATGATTTTATGTGATTTGGAATTGTATATGCTGTCTCTGGTTACAACAGGCTGCTGGAACTCTTATTTGGGACAAATCACATGAAGAAGGTGAGCAAAGTTTGGATTTGGCTTTGGGACGACAGTGGTATTAACACAAGTATATATTGGCTGAAACTGATGGTGTGGTATTTGCAGAAGGCATGCTTAATTTTCTTCAGCATATGGGTTTCCATGAAGGTTTGGCTCCCTTCTCTACAAGTGAGGTGAAACCAACAATAAGCTCCATGAGACTGCAGTAGTCAAATACACCAGATCCAAGGATCCATATTCTGTGCTCACTGCTTGTGTACAGGAGGAGGAGCGCTCTTAAAGAGCAAAAGGACTTCCTGTAGAAGTGTGGAAGGAAGAATTGGTTGGATTTTACTACAACAAAACCATCTAAATGCCTCTGATTCTTCCTGTCTTGAAAGTGAGTGCACACAAAGCTGAATGCATGAAAAGGCATCCCCAGACAAAACACATGCAACTTCTGCAACATAGTACCCTGTAGAGCTTAAGGCTGCTGTTATAGCTGTCTGGTGCTGTCAGCTAAGTACAGGTATGCTCCATCAAGCCTTTGAACATTTCCTACCGTCTGGGTTTTTCCTCAGGATTTAGATAGGTTTATGTTTGCAATGATAAACAAATATATTTTGGAGAAGAACAATAGCAAAAAGAAAAACTCATAAAAATTAAGTTTATGCTTGTGAAGACCTGCAAGGTATCTTTATATGCATATTTATACGCAAAGAGATTTAAATGCGTATTCACGTGCCTAAGGTTTAGCTCTCTGCCTGCAACATGGAGAACTTCGACCTGTTCTCCATGTCTGTTGGAAGGAGCAGCCTGTGGTACTGGACAGTGCTCATGATGTCCCAGCATTTTTTTAATGCATGTGGAAATACTACTTCCACTCAGCAATCCACCACCAACCTCTCTTGTTTTTTAGAAGCACTCAGCATTTTAAGGCACCAGTTCTCCAGCTTAGCTTTTTGATGCCTGGCCAGAGCTTTCTCCAGCAGCTTTGCAGCCTCGCGCCAGTGGGTTATTTGCTGCTTTATTGTTTTCGCCATGTTTTGATTTTTCATTTTGTTACTTTACCTTTCCATCTGCTATTGCAACATTCCTTTTACAGATTTTCTTGTCTTTACAGTGCAGTCTGACAGGTAGAAACACACACTTGGGTAAAGGAACAGAACAATACACAATAATAATAAAATACAGTTAATTTCCCAGGGATAAAGACAAGCATGTTGCAGGGACACCTCAGGTTTGTATTTTTCAAGAACTTGCAATGCTTTTCTTAGTATATCTAAATAAATAAAATATATAAGGGATGCATATACATATATTTACAGATGTGTAGGAGAATGGCGTCTTTACTGCTGAAGTCCCCCCAAGCATAAGAGCACCTAAATGGAAAAGTCAGCCAGCAGTGCAGTGGGGTATGAAAAACCAGAAATATTTTGGGTGATAATACAGAAATAAAATAGCATTTTTTTATAAGCCATAGTTCTGTGGTTCATAATGCAAATGCATAAAACTAATTTCATGTACATAAGCAAAAAGAAATGAAAAATTTTCAATTATGTATTTTTAACAAGATTTTGATGAAGTATGTTTCTTGTCTTTCTGAGTCCCAGTGCAGTAGTGTGTGCC